AGGAGCGTTTTGTTGCTGCTGCCTATTTTTCATATGAGTCAGATGAACCACCACCAACTAAAGAAGTGAGGGACATCATAAACTACTGTCACAGGAGGAAAAAGCAACTCATAATTGAATGTGATGCCAACACATACCACACTTTTTGGGGGGTGCACCGACACCAATCCAAAATGAGAAAACCCCATGGAATATCTGGTGAGTTCAAACATGAATATTCTTAATCAAGGTAATGAACCTATCTTTGTGGTTTGCAACAGGAAGGAGTTATTGACCTGACACTAGGGACAAACAAAATAGCAAACCTGGTAAGTAATTGGCATGTATCTGATGAACTGCCTTTGTCAGACCACAGATGCTTATGCTTCCAAATGGGTAACATGACAGTAAATCATGTTACCTTTAGGAATCCTAGGATAACCAATTTCGGACTCATATGAGGACGACCTATAAGTTAATCTGGAGATTATTTCGTGAAATATACCCAGGATAAGGGACATATCGGTCTGCTGACCAGCTGCAACAGTCCATCATCTTGTTTTAATATCATAATTGCCCAGCCAAGACCACTCACTCACGAAGGATGGCACTTTGGTAGAATAAAAAATTGAGTGGACTAAAAGCTAAAACAAGAGGGCTATTTAATATAGAAAAAAGTATATGGCAATGGGACACCTATAAGGAAACCCTCACCTGATATAATAAAGAAATAAGGAAAGCCAAACGATCATCATGGAGAAGATACTGCCAGGAAATCGATGATGTACTGGGCAATGCCAGACTCACGAGAATCATGGCAAAACAGGCGACCAACCAAGTTAACATTGTTAAGCTACCTGAAGGTCAGCATATTAGATAGGCACACGATACCTTTAAACTATTAAGTCTGTGGAAACAGATGGAATTTTACCGGTACTTTTCAGTAAGGGGTAGAGCATCTAGTCCCACGTCTATGCAGCATATTTAGAGCCTGTATGTTATATGGATTTATCTTCATGGCCTGGAGACAAGTTAAAGCGAAATTTATTCCTAAGCTTGAGAAACTTGAGTATACTGAGGCTAAGGCTTATTGTCCTATCAGCCTGTTGTCTTTCCTCTTGAAAACGATGGAGAAACTAGTGGATAGATGTATAGGGATGGTACACTTTATGCCGAAATCAACATGCCTACCAAATAGTTAAATATACTGAAACTGCATGGCATAATATGGTAACACGCGTAGAAAATGCAGTTGAACACAAGGATATTGCCCTTGGAGAATTCCTTGACATAGAGGAAGGTTTTGAAAGAAGTTCATTGGATATAATAAAACAGGCTGCTGAAAGTCATGGCATTGAGCCCTCTGTATGCAGATGGATCTGTGCTATGCTGGAAAGGAGGAATATAAATTCTACTTTGTCGGGAGAGTCCCTGAGGGCGACTACGGCCAGAGGGTGTCCACATGGAGGTGTGTGGTTGCCTCTGCTGTGGAGCCTGGTCATGGATGATCTTCTTTAGGAGCTGAACAGCAATGGCCATTACACAGTAGGATATACTGATGACATAGCAATCCTAATTAGTGGGAAATTCCCTCATACTGTGTCAGAGGTCATACAAACAGCCCTGTGCACTGTCCAACAGAGGTGTGAAAGAATGAAGTTGTCTATGAACCCATGTAAGACGGTAGATATACCCTTCACCAGGAAGCGGACCATAAGGGGGCTTAATGAACCTACCCTCTTCAATAAAACGATCCAGTTATCCAATGATGTCAAGCACCTTGCAATAACATTAGACAAGGGACTGACATGAAAAAAGTAGCTGGATAAGGTTACCAACAAGACCTATAAGGGCTCCTGAGCATGTAGAGGTACATTTGGGAAAACTTGGGGACTGAAACCAATACTGGATATTCACTGCAGTGGTAAGACCTATGGCTACCTATGCTGTCACTATATGGTGGCCTGGAGTTAAACGCAAAGCAAGTCAGGCAGAACTTAGCAAGCTGCAAAGAATAACCTCCTTTGGATTAACAGAAGCAATGAGAACAGCTACAAGAGCTGCAATGGAAGTCTTCCTTGGACACACCCCACTGTACTTGCAGGTGGAAACGGAGGCCAAAATAGGAAACTGCAGACTACGTTGCAACGACCAATGGAAACCCAAATTTTGAGGTTTTGGATATGCATACATGACACAGGTCATGGATAAAAACCCATCCTACAGATGGGGTCTGATAAAATGATACCAAGATATGTCTATGATAAACCCTTCATTATCAGAATCCCTGATAGAAGTAAATGGAAGCAGAGGTTTAAATTCGATAGAAAGAGGGGAACTAATCTTGTATAGAGATGGTTCCAAGACAGGAATAGGCACTGGATCTGGGGTGTATTGCCATGGAACAAGGAGGAAACTTAGTTTTAGCCTTGGGCAGCACACAAGAATGTTCTAGGCAGAAGTATACGCCATCAAGATATGCACAGTCAAGAATCTAGGTAGGAACTATAAGAATAGGAGTGTCTAAATTTTATCAGACAGTCAAGCTGTNTGAACGATTCAATATATACAATTGTACAGTTTCATGTGGTTTGTCTATTGGAGTATTGACGACAATCCCACACTGTAATTAAAGCACTTGGCAAACACCAGATCATCTCAAAACTGGTCTGGAACTGCCACCAATCCTCATACATCTTGCCAGACATAAGAGAGTTCAGCTGATATGGGTGCCAGGTCATGAGGGTATTGCTGGTAATGAAATGGCAGGTCTACTGGCAAGAACAGGATCTGAACACCCATTCATAAGACCTGAACTACGTAGCTTGAGGCATCTCAGTTGGAGTTGCCAAGGAAGCGGTCAGGGACTGGATTGAACATAAATCACAAAGCAAGGGGAATCCAAAACTGAACTCAAACAGGTAAAGGGACTTGTATTAGGGCCCTCCGCCAGAATAACAAAGAATCTGTTGGAATTAAACAGAGACCAATTAAGGTGAATGGTAGGACTGATCAGAGGACACTGCTACCTAAAAGGATAAGTTTTCAAACTGGGATTGACAGACGATCCCACTTGTATGAGGTGCCTGAAAGAAGATGAACCAGCCACACATATTCTATGCGATTGTGAGGCCCAAGTTCATTTAAGTACACTTGAAAGTATTCTGATGATAGTGTATGCTGTACAGAACTATTAGTCTTATTTTGGACTCTATCCATCGTCTGATATATAGAAGACAAAAAACACAACGTTTCAGAGACTGGATCTGTCTCCGTCCTGAGGTGGATGGGGCAAGATAAACCTAACTCAGTTGGGCCCATTAGAAAGAGCTAGAAAGACTACCTCTTTCCAACGGGCCCAACTGAGTAGGTTTATCCTGCCCCATCCACCTGAGGATGGAGACAGATTCAGTCTCCGAATCGTTGTGGTCTTTGTCTTCTATATACCAGACGATGGATAGAGTCCAAATATGCGTAATAGTTCATTTAAGATTTCGTTACTTGGGCCAGTTCATTATGGAACCAAGTGACTACTATGATGCACCCATAAATAAAGTCCTACATTTCATTCAAAATGTAGGATTAATAGAGGGTTAATTCAATGGGAAGCACAATAGATCTTAATTGGTCGTGATGCAGGAGCCTGATTGTGCCCCCCCCCACACACACACAGTCACAGTCACAGTAGACGAGAAGACACTCATAGTCCAGTAAGGAATGGAGTGAGTCTTAGGCAGTCATTACTGTGAGCTGTTGTACTTGATTGTGTTTAAGTGTGATTGTAAATGAAGGTGGCAATAAATCCAATCATACAATCCAGAACCTGTTTTATTAGTCATGGAATCCTGGACACCTGTCAGTATAATGCTGACTATGAAGGATACAAAAAAATGTCACTGATTGTAGAAAATTTAAATTATTACTGGGCAATTCAAACTCTTTTGAGCTGTCTCCTCAACATGTAACACACTTTTATTTGCAGATTTATCAGTTTTACTATAAGAACCTCTGAAATCAGGTAGACCATTATGAATAACCTGTGCATGTTTTTAAATTAAACATGTCAATGCTACTCACATACTGGTCAATTATGCTGTGTGTCCTAGTAGATCTACGCTTTACAACACAGCATGTATTTGTGTGTGTGTGTGTGTGAGAGAGAGAGACAGACAGTCTGCCAATCCCAATATAGAATCAAGTAATATTTCAATACTGTTTTATTATTTTTTTAAAAATTTCGCAATATAACGCCCTACTGTTTTGGGTTCTCATTAAAATATGAATAATTTTCAAGTCTTGAGAGAATAACAGTATCTGATTGTCAGATAAGATATACAATACAGGCTATTGAACTAGCATGACTTCTTACTCAATTATAGGTTGTATGAAATAACTACTTTAAATTTCATGCCATATCACTGTTTAAATATTTAGATTTTCCTAACATGTTGCACATATAAGAGATTGATGGCCGGAATTCAATTCTTGGCAGAGGTATTGATTCTGTTTTCTTCACAGTGACTAGACTGGCTGTGAGGCCCACCCACCCTCCTCTCCAAGTGGTAGTGAGAAATATTTCCCGAGGGGTAAAAGTGCCAAGTCATGAAGCTGACCACTCACTTCCATCTAGCACTGATGTCAAGAATGGTGGAGCTATACCTACACTCCCCAGTATGTCTTCATGGCATGGTGCTTGGCATTAGTTAAGCAGGGGAACAACTTTACCTTTTGCCTTTAACTTATTTAATTGTGTTAACAGCTTCCATTATCAGAAATTGGTTCTATAAAAAACTTCAACTCTAAATGAACTCAGACAGTAAATTATTGATGACCTTGGTAACCTCAGTATATCTTTCATATAATACAACAGTTGAAGCAGTTATCCTTTCAGGCCTTTGCTCATGCCAATGAAATCAGGAAATATGTTCACTGCAAAGTCATTATTTTTATCCTGCTACCACTGATTTCACAACTTCCTTATCAAAATCATGAAGTTAATCAAGAAACTAACTGTACTTTACCATTGCTTTGATCCCTTCTGGATAAAGGAAGCGCTTGTATAGAGAATCAACTGTATCATTGGGTTTGACTTTGCATGATTGCTGCAGAAGAATTGGACCCGTATCTAAACCATCATCAGCCCAGAAAACTGAAAACCCTGCATCACTGTCACCTGAGATAAGTGTCCTAGAAACAAAAACATCAGGCGGGGCATTCAGTACTTCCAAGGGACTCTTCTCTTAAGATGTAATTCGCATAGTGGGGGGTGGACTCCAGTTGGGTCCACTCGATATGGCAGCCACTGATTGGCCTATTGTACCTGCCCCAGGTGATTATGACGATGGAGAATTTGGTGGAATGAAGATTGGCAGGAGAAACCAAAGTACTCGGAGAAAACCCACCCCAGGGCCACTTTTCCACCACAAATCCCACTTGACCAGACCAGGGTTTCAACCCAGGCCATCGTGGTGGGAAGCCAGCGACTAACCGCTTGAGCTGTGGCATGGCCTTTTCACCTAAGATGTACCTCATAGTCTTAAAATTTACTAAGACACCATATTAACACCTCAAGAAAGAATTCGTTTAACCACCAGCATGGCTCCATGTATTGTGCTCCTTTTAGAGCACAATACAAAAAATACAACATCTAGCACTGCTATGAGATGACAGTGGCATCTGTCACAATTACAAGTTTAATGAAACTAGACAATCTGAAAGGCAAGCAGTCATTTTCTGTTGCATGGCACTGTTCTAGGTTTCACCTTGAAGGAACAATGTAAATAAAAACTGCTTTTTTTGGTCACAAATAATAATAGAACAACATAGGAACACTGGACACTAAATTATTTTATTATACTAGATTTACTAGATTTCGTGGAATTCATACATTCTTAGAATCAAAAAGAAAGTGTCGATGTAGTGAGACTGGAAATGTTGAATTGGTGAGGTCTACACCCATAGTGTGAAACTGATTTTCCTAATAAAATACTCTCAGTCTGTCAACAGTAAATGGTTAAAAATGGTCAATGTTTCAGAGACTATCTCTGTCCCTCTCATCAGGATTTGCTGTGACTACAGATCCACACCACATCTACATACTAACTTGTAAACCATGACTGAAACAGAGCACAAGCCAATGGGAGGCTACAAGGAGAGCTGTCAGTTTGCTTGGCCTAATCTTTTCTCATAGTTTCTCCAACTGACACTGCTGACAGCATGAGAGGATTTCATTAAATTCAACTGCCATGGAAGCTTCAGGCCTTGATTATCTTTCCAATGTAACAGACTTAAAGCCAGAAATACTGTAATGTTTGTAGTGTTGCCATTATCTTCTGCAGAAATTAAGCACTGATTGAAATCTTAAAATAAATTTTGTTCATAATAAAAATTTATTTTGTTGTCATACATATAAATATATCATGCAAACTAAATCTTGCTCAAAGTACCAAAGCTATTCATATAATTTGAAAGTATTCATATAAAAACATCTATGTATTTCACTTTTGTGTTATGACAAGACTGATTACAGTGTCTTCATTCATTACTTCCACTCCAGTTTTTCAATGATAGTATATGATATAAGGGCTAGAGTACAACTGATGAAAACACAAGATAGAAATATTTATACTTTTAGCATATCTCAATTCAAATTAGTGGTACCTCATCCATTGCAAGCTTAAAGCAATTTACTTTAGAATCACTCACCAATTTATGGCACTAACTCCTCTGTGCTTGGGAAGAAGTGAAGGATGATAGCAGATGCTTTTCAACCTAGGATAATCGATAACATCCATAGGGATGAACTGAGAGCAGAATGGCAGAACATTCAATTCAGCATTAAGTGATCTATATTTGCTGATAATTTCTGCCAATGGTGTTCCTTGTTTCCTCCATGCCTTGACTTTGAATACTGGTATACTGTCTGCTGCTGCTGTTGAAGCTGAAATAGTAAAGAATATATTATTTATGTCCCTCACAGTCTAGACACAAAACATAACAGGAAGGAACACCCAACGCCTTGAAATACACGAGACATAAATTGGACTGCACACTGAATATTAGAATCACAAACTGGAAGCACAACAGTCTCCACTAACAATTTTAAAAATCTGATGATGATCAATGTCGGTCAAAACATGCAATGTAATGTACAGAAGCTTTTAAATAAGGTTTGAAAGACATAGTGTAACTACTTCAGGTTAAAGTGTTGATGAGAAAAGTTGTTATAATTATAAATGATGACAGAAGAAGAATTTGGTAGGCTAGGTCATGGCCCACATTAAGGTTTCCTCCCAGCATTCATCTGATGGTTTTGAATGAAACTGTAATTGCCTCAGGCAGAACATCCAATATCCTGACCAAATTTTGAACCAGAAGATTAATGAATGAGAAAAACACTGTTAACAACTACACTCCATATATGGTGTTTCAACTGCAGATGTTCCATGTTACTGAATGAGAGTGAATGGTATGTGGAAGAGAATGTGGGTGAAAGCAGGCTCAAGTTAGTATTGAATTTTCAGTGATGGGAACGAGGAAATCCACAAGAATATCTTGTCAATACCTGACCTTTATTCAGGGCAATGTTCATTTTGAATAAGAGTCAAATATAATATGACTGATGGAATTTGTCAGGTATATTTACAAAATACGTCCTGCTACTGTACACTATTATAAATGGGGGTCACAGCTGGGTCAATGTATAGATTTTTGTGATCATGATTATAATCCGTAAAGATCAGTAGCAACATGAAATACGCATTTCTTTAAATTTTACAAGTATAAGAATAGTTCATAGAGACTTCATACAAGAAAATCAATATTTCCAGAATATTTCAATTTTTAAATGTCTCAAGAATAAAGTGTTGGCAAAACTTGCAACTTACCTAAAGGATCTTCTCGATTTCCATTATCTGGAACTGTGAAAACTCCAACAACTTTGTGTCCATCCTTTCTCAACAATTTGTACACTTCAGCTGCAAATGTGCTTTGACCTATTACAGCAACTCTCAGTTTATTAAGTATGTTCTGCAAATCAGCAATATGAAATAGTAATGAAATTTCCACACACACACACACACACACACACACACAAAACAATAAAAACTTATCATTTCCAGTCAGCACCTTGTGTGTTTCAGTCCTTTAACAAACTCTCACTTCTACATATATCAAAGGGTAAAGTAAAAAAAAAAAAAAGAAGTAAAAAGCAAAGTTATCCCTGGTACTAATTTCTATTAGAGGCTGAGTCAACTCCAGGGCATAGTGCAGCTGGATGGATTAGGTCAATTGGAAAAATCCAATGACCTCATCTGGAACTGAACCCGCTTGTAGCGTAGTGCCTCAACTAACTACGCTACTGCGTACCCCTACATCAAAGGGTATAATTCATATTAACATGAACATGCTGACAGCAGGTTCCTACTAAATATGGTTCACATCTACCAAAGTACATGACATCACACCTCAAATGGCCATAATCTGAACATTCACCACATTGAGTACCTGGAATCTTGTAAAGTAAAGTAAATCTATCCCCATACCAGGCCGTGAAGGCCCATAGGGTTGTGAGACGTTAAGGGTCCCACATTACCTTGACAATCGGCTCAAAGATGGCGGTAAGGTTGTCAGCCCTACGCGCCGGCCGCGCTTTATTCCCCACGAAAATGATTTAATTAATTTCTGTTAGAGGCTGAGTAAACCCCAGGGCCTAGAGCGGCTTGAAGTATTACGTCAACTGAAAAAATCCAATGACCTCGTCTGGACTTGAACCCGCGACCTTCCGGCTTGTAGCATAGCTCCTCAACCACTACGCTACCGCGTGCCCCCCCTGGAATCTTGTACATACAGATATTATGTCAAACGTGGAAGAACGTGTCAGCAATGAAAGAAAGTTTTTCTGAAAAAACTGGGGGAATCATACTGTCACGTGTATGGTGGTAGGCGTGACAAGAATAACGGGTTCTATTTTGGATGATTGGATTCATTAGCGCTTTGGTTATAATCTCTCTTACGAGTAATCACATTTACTGCAGACAATACAGCGCTAGCGCTGATTTGCACACTTTCCAGTTCACCGTTGGACACGCACTAGGATTCTCTGTTTCCATTAGTCGTCTCCTAGTAACGGATCTCAACACAGAAATTTCACTTCAAATCACTATAACGTCTTCCTGTTATTTCGTCTTTATTCTCTCTGTACTCCACTGTCATAATCTGTACTCAATTAATCTTCACAATTCACGCTTCATTTTCGTCCTTGTACTCTCAACTGTTGAACCCCTCTGAATTATCCACTTCGCTCCGTTCACGTGATTCCTCAGCTACTATTTCTTTTCTCTGCCAGCTCACTGATATAACCGAGGGACCGATATCGGACACCAGTCAACATATATCACGTGACCCCTACCCGCTGTTGCTGTGTGACTTCACCGCTCCTACACCAGCTGCCGGACACACAGAAAACACTGCTTGCTTTACTGTTGCTTGCGCGTATCGTCTTTGCAGAGCTGTTACTGGCAATGCGTTGATCAAATACGCCAGAATACAATCTCAGTTAAATTACAAGTTGTCCTGCACATATGAAAAAAGTAGGGGTGGTAACTGAAATACAGTTGTAAGATTATACAAAAGCAACAATGTAAGACACACTTCTTAGACATCAGAGATATGTCTCCTATTTATAAACTGAGTATCAAACCCGCATAATTTAAACACTAAAATATTAAGAATTCAACAAAATTTAACGTCATATATACCTATACATACCTAAAAAATAATGATCTCTTTTTTTTTTCCTAATACCATCATATCTATGAATTATGCGGCTCAAACAACCAAAAAAGAAGTCTTTAAAATACACCTACAAAAATTTATGCTATCACGTGTTAGTGAACAGACATGGGAATTTGATTGAAAATTGGATTTATTTGATACCTGTAACTCGTAACTTGTACAAATGCTTATAAGAGTCTCACTAATTTACACATTTTATAAGTCATTACAACCACAGCATACAAACAACATCCTCTGTTTGATATTTTGTCACCGGTAGTCTTTGCTATGTAGCATCCGCTAACTGGTGATTTCTCACGGCCAATCACGAACTGCCACTGCTCACTTACAAATCACGACTCGTGGACACTCGGTCGGCTGAGTAAATTGCTGCTGGCTTTTTCCAGGGCAGTCAATCTTGGTTTCAGGTCCTTTCAGGAACCTTGATCATATTTTTATTCTTCCCAAGTCGTTTACGTGTTTTGAAATTGGGCCTCTTCTTCAACGAGAGGAAGAGTTTGAATACTAACGGGCACTCTCTCTCCACTAGTGACGAATCGAACAGGCATTCCCTTACTAACTTGCGCGTCCACATTACTCGTGCTCTTGCTCGTGCTCGCCAGGCTTTTGCTCATCGGGAGACTCGCCTGGCTTTTACTTTTGCTCGTAAATCTTCGTCCACACTACTTCAGTTGTTCGCCAGGCTACGGCGCGTGAGGATCCGTATATTTACTTGTAGTGTGTATAGGCTGTAGTCGTATTTTAATTTATTGGCTATAGTTTTTAAATTAAAAATTTTAAATTTTCTTATCTTGTGACTTACCATATCGTCCACATTACTCGCGAGTATAGCGAGTCACACGAGCACGAGTAATTTGGACTCGCCTTTACACGCACCCGCACGCGCATTTGAATGGACTCCGGCTAAGTACTGGTAGGGGCAGGTCGGACTCGACTCCCGAATTTCACGAATCTGGTTGGTGGGGTAAATTGCTGAAGGTCCTAGCCAGCACAACGATCCTTTCTTCCGAGTACCACGGGACTCATGGCCATATTTTACTCTCTGATGGCCCAGGGAGCCTTCAGTCTCCTCGCTGAGTATCAAAGACAAAGTCAAAGTTACTTTACGACTGGCGGTTTACCGCTACTCAGTTCGTTTTCCTGTCTAAACACAAGGATACCCACGACCACGGATTTTTTCTACAACTGAACCTGTGTGGTCATAGTCCTCATATAACACTCTCTCTGACGAGAAGATCAGTTTGTGTCTTATGTATATACCTGTACTTGGTCTTTCGTCAAGTTACATATCGCACATGTAGCGTGTTATAGAATATTCTTCATTTTCTACTATATACTAGTCCTCTGTCAGTACATGCTTTATAAAGCAGGTCATGCATATCTTACGTATCTTATGCTACAACGGGAGCTAATAATTAAAACTGTCCTAAGCTTGACAACCGCCAAATTTAAGCCTCTTATATTTTTTATGACTCGTTTCTCCTTGTGCTGTACTACGAACATGTTAATTCTCATGATGCTCTATGACTACTGTTTGTTGCTTGCACAATCTTGTTATATAATCGTATGCATAAGGTAGATTGGAAGCCGTGTTCAAATCGCGGACCGGTGTGCCCCTTCGAAAATTTCGAATAGTGCGGAGAAACTTGTTTAGTAGGTGCTGTAATTTGAAGAGACATTTGTCTGTCCCTAGTTCTCAGGCGGGTTAAGCATAAGTCATCACTGATCTAACCAGTGCATTAGGAAGGGTTAGTTTAACATCAGCGCTTAAACTTTCATTTTTGAATAGAGTCTAGATTCTAATAAACGTTCTGAAGGCCTTGACTTCAGTCATTTCCACCTGCAGCCTGCATGTTATCCTCTTATCAAAACTTACACCCAGATATTTTACATTCAATGTAAGGCGAGTCTCTAGGGATCTAAGTCTATGGGAAAAATAGATTTTCTGAGTCTTATCTTCATTGATTTTTATGCTCCAGCGTTCACACCACGTCTCAATATTACTGAGATCTCACTGCCGCATTCTGAGAACATAACCCTCTTTGTGGTCTGTCGTATATACACAGGCGTCATCAGCAAAGAGATTTAGAAAGACATCGTGTGTTTGGGATGTATCATTTCACACACACTTACATGCATATATATCATTTACATATTTACATAATGTGGGGGACAGGACGGAACCTTGTGGCACCCCTGCTTGTATATATCTTGGTGCAGAACCTTCACACTTCGACTGAAACTCTGAATTTTCTCTGAAAAAGAAAACATCTAATAAGCTTGACTAGACTGATCGAAATTTGTAATTCTGATAACTTCTATAACAAACCAAGGCGCAATGTTCTATCAAAGGCGACGGAGATCTCAAGAGACTAATGGAAAATTCTGCATTTGTTTGCCAGAATTCCGAAAGTCTACTTATATCTTCTCACTCTCGAGAGGAGATAATTGAACACCCTTCTTTGTGCTGATGACCTTCTGTATGGTAGCAGTAAAAAATTAGGAAGACCAAAACGTTCATCCCCGAAAATTACATATGCTAACAGTATTTAAGCCTTCTGTCATTGATCGATCTTCAGGAATATTTTGCATATTGGCCTTTAATTTCTTATAAAGTCCTGACATTTTGCTAATCGTTGAATCAGAATATTTGCATTACCATGTACGTTAACAAATGAATTGATAAACTGTAGATATACTCCAACTAAAGAAGAGAAAATAAATGCTTTTAATTGTGGAGTCGGTGGTTCTTAAGATTCTAAAATGCTTCCTGACTGCTGCCCCGATTCAGTTTCGGAAAATCGAACATTTTAAAAATATTTAGCTCTTATTAGCCACTACCTTTCATAAAGAGAGGAAGCCAAGGTACTTCCCAAACACGACGTATGATCAACATTTTTAACGTTATAATTATTACGGCATATAGACCTGTTCCTAGTTGCTAGTCGTGGCAATTTTCTCTATTGTATTCCTAAGTGTTTTACAGTTACACGTTTCTGTGCTACAGGAAACCCTCAGTAAAACGCAAGTTCGATGGAGAGCTTCTGTACACACATTCTATGTGAAACTGACATTTATACAAATTTTAATTCCCAGCATTATTTGTATTCAGCCCGTGACTAAACACATGAAATTTAAAGTACTTTTAAGACTTAACAGCAAGTCTAGAAGACCGAGATTAACGGCCGTGCGGATCCGTTGTGCAGACCACGCGACACCCTCTATCCGCAACT